ATAGAGTTTGGCATTCAGGCTTGATCCTTGGATGAATTTCCAATTCTTAAATCATTAATCTGGTTTGGTAAGCAACTCTCCCAACTTTTCTAGCTAATGGAGACATCACTGACATCGATTACAAGTCACTGGAAGCTTTCAGGTTGAAACATGGTGCAGCAGCTCTTTCCATTAAATTGAACTTTCTCAGCAGAGATCTTCCCATTGAGACACAAGTTTCACCTTAGGGCACTAATAATAAGGGGAATGGAAACAGCTGGGAATAGGTCAGATCTTTCCAGAAATAGAAGACATTTCAAAAACACAAGTCAGTCACCTATCTGGCCTACTTCGACATCTACAGAGGATAGAGAACTAAATTTTCACGGATAGCTGATTCAGCTCTTTACTCTTCTCTCAAACTGATTTACATGTCTCAGATTTATTTTTCCTCAAGAGGCGTGGAGAAAGGTAGCAAGGAATTGGAAAACACAAACAAGTATGCAAATCTAATTTGTAGCCTAGTCTCATGATTAATTAATGTTAATGTCATGAGGACAGCATGGGTGCTCAGACCTAAGGTTTTTAAGTACTTTAAAATATTACTAAGACCACATACCCAATGGTTAGAATTGGGACAAGGTGCTCTTTTCTATTGTTCTGAGGGGAAAAAATCATAATTTTTTAAGACCATGTAAATAGAATTTGTTAATAGCAAATAGCAAACTTTGGAGGAAAACATCTACTCCGTGAAACCTCAGTTTCAGCAGGATTCTCCTACACCTTCCAATGGATTCAATCTTGCCCCAAGACAGAACTAAGTAAAAACAGGGCTCAACTCAGTTAGGTCAGGAGACAAATGCCAGTAAATGAGTGATTGTGGAGGTAGGCATAGTGAGACAGGATTTACCTAAAGGAAAACCGATCCCTGCACGTGTGCGTGCACACACACACACACACACGCACACATACCTGTGCATAGTGATTTAAAAAGCATGGGCGTGGGAAGGCTCAATACTGTTCCACACGAGCACAAGTATCTCATCTGTTCGCATTTCTACATAGGAAAGGGTCTGACACAGGTTACACACCCACAAACACTCGTGTGAGAGGCCAGCCTGGCTCGCAAAGACTCCGCAACAGACCCAGAGAATCCTCTGTAGAGCTGCTGGTTTTACAGGAATGATTAGTATCTGCAGGATTACACTTCCTCTTGATTTGCAGGATTTTTATCTTGCATTTCCTTCCATAAATATTCCCTTTGCAAGAGAATTAAATCAAGTCCTGAAGGGACTAATCTTGAGTCCTCAATGGGTAAGACTCAGAACAGGAACTGCAGGAAAACAAAAATTGCAGTAACATGGCCCCTTTGGGGTTGGGGTGAAGTATTTCTGGATTTAAACAGTCTTGGGGCAAAAAAAGAGAGCAGAGTTCTGGGCAGAGGTGGAGATGGAAATGTGGGCAAGTCCAGAAATCAATATAAACAAAAGAAATGAGCATAACTTAAAGGGGTTTCAACTAAGTATCACTGCAACTGACTTTGTTGTCCGCAGAAATTCTGCTCTGATATATGGAACTGAAAGATAGTAATTGGTGTATCTCTTCTGAGACAGGCTCAGCTGGGAGTGATGTGGTAGGTACTGGGCGGGGTGGGGGGAGGTGGTAAAGACAAAAGGCCTGAAGGCTCAGGTATCGCTCCTAAGGTTTCTGCTTGCCTGATTTTGAAGGAAAGGGTGCTAGAGCAAATGGATCCGCGGCTGGCAGCTCCGTAGTCCTGGAGGAAAGGGATGTGATGGAAACAGAGCCAGCTATCGACTGTTTGTTGGTCTGTGAAACAATTTTGTAGGCAGCGATGGGCTGGGCTTCTGGACTTGACTCATCTTCTGGGCTATAGTGACGGGAATATTTGGATAAAGACTGGGGGCGGAATGGTTTGCCAGCCACGGGGCCTGAGACAGCTTCTTTCTGGGGCTGAGGTCCTTTGTTTCTGTCATTAGGATGGCCCCCCGATTCCAGGGAGGATGCCCTGGGAGAGATGCTGTCAGGATGGTCTGCTGTTTGTGCAGAATGGGAGGGGGGGTTAGACTGCGGGACGAAAGCAGCCATGGAGTACTGAGCTCGGACGGGGGCATACGCTGCTCTCTCAAGGCCTGGGAGCAAAGGGACCTCATCAGTCTGACTGAGGAGACTGGCCTGCCCAGGCAACTCCTGGGAGGCGCTCTGGGCAACTGATAACTCCTCCATGCTCTTCTTCTTGGTAAAAGGAGCTCTCAAGAACACGTCCGCCTCCTCTGGCTGGGAAGGAGCCACACTGCCCTTGGAGGCAAATGGGGCTTTGGAGAAAATATCCATGTCATCAGCTGGAACCCTTGAGCTCCTGAAAGGGGCTGTGGCAAAAACATCCGGCTCCCCGAGACCGTCCGTGGTTGGTTGTGGGAGGGCTTGGAACTGGTTCTTTCTGCCACCCTGACCTGCCTTTGCTTGCTCGGTAGAGACCTCTGGCTGAGCGAACGGAATAGCTCCTCCCAGCTTCCCCTGTGGAGGCTTGCAGCTCTCATCCTCTTCTTCAGACTCCATGAGGAGTGGTCGAGACCCACTGCAGTCCAGCATGTCCCCCTCGAGATCAGTCCCTTCCTCTTCACTGCTGTGGAATGAACTGTTGCTTGAAGGGCCATCTCGGGCCAAGTAGTCAGATTCTAAACTGTTCTGCGTTTTCGTGCCAGGTACTCTCGAGGGGTCTGGATACAGGGGAAGGCCTTTAATACCGGTTGAGTCTTTAAAGTGCTCTACAGTTATTACAGGACAGGGATTGGGCTCTCTCTGGAGACCTAGAAAAGCACAAAACGCAGAATTAATGCATAGATCAGTTCAACTCTCCTCAGAACATTTAAAATGGTCAACCCGCGGCGGAAACATTGTGGGACCAAATAATAAAGTTTGAAATGGAAAAGGAAAAACAGAAAAATAAAAGTCAGGCAAGGAAACGGCACACAAACTGGAACACAAGCAGTCACTGTCTCACATTTTGGAACATGACAGGCACAGTGTACAGGAAAGGAGGTGACGATGTTGGGCACACAGACACTCAGCATAACCACACAACGCTCCGACTCGCGGGGCCAGGCACTGCCTCCTGTTCTACCTGGCACTGGCTCAGGGTGGGATGGAAACAAACCCAGTCGCTCAGCTCCACATACACCATGGCAGTTCTGGATTATGTAGAAATACTGTCTGGGGACAAATGCAATTCAGTAGCGGACATGTGGTCATCTGCTCCACACTGCCTGTATCTGAGGACAGATTCTCAATCCCAACCCCCCCTGCGCCCCCCCCCCCCCGAAGAGCAGCAGAGCATAGCTGCTTGATAAATGCAAGATTTACATCATGAGCACTACTCAAAGAGCACAAGAGTGCCCCAAATGCCAATACTGAAGGCGCTTTCTAAGGGGAGGAGACATACCCAAAATCATATTAAAGAAATCTCCTTCAGCTGGAGTCGCTGTGGAATTTTGTTTTCAATCTTCTAAGCTAGCAAAGATCTCCTCTGCTTAAATGAATCTATCACAAAGTTCTTTAAGCAGAAGGAGCAAAACACATGGGTAACTGCAGAAATATTTGCGAACTCTAATATACTAGTCTACTTCTAGCTAGATAGACGTGCCTCAGGGTGCTCTGGCTTTTAAAATCAAATAGACAATTATCAGAATGCAAGAGAGCTTACCTTCCAAGAAATATTAGCAGGTTAGAAGTATGTCATTGGGCACATGTTAGCAAGAGGGCAGGAAAAAGGCATATGTAACTAAGTAAGAAGAATCCAGAGAAAGGGCGGTTGGGGGTAAAGAGATCATTTCATCATGGGTTTCCCAACCCACTAGGCATTCGGTACAATGCTTTGGATTCTGTAGATGGCTTGGAACCTCTGTACTGAGGTAATTCCATCAACCCCTCCCCATGTTACCCTCTCCTTCCAGGCAAATCATTAGCTAGTAGAAACTTCTGCTAACAATTATCCCCTGCTAGGGTTTCTGCTTGAATTAAGCACACAGAACACATCAGAAGCGGCATCAAAGTCAGTTTATTGGGAAACCAGTCACTTAGAGACGTTTTACATTGTAAAGAGATGTAGAGAGAGATCGGAACATTTTAGAAGATACTGTACAAAAATACTACAGTTCTCGGAATTCTAGAACTTTTTAGCAGTGCTTCTTTTTAAACAGCTCTGATCTTAAATGATCTTAAATACTGTTCTCAGAAACAAAAAAAAGGTGGGTGTCCCCCTCGTTTTCTGAGTTTGAATGCAATCAATGAATTTCCAATCAGGAGTCTTTAAGTGAAATTCTGTATTGGTGCCAAACAGCTTTCTGAGTAGTGTTTGAAGAATATGATTCTGAAGAGCATACATTTTTTCTTTGCGTTGCAGCTTGAGTATGCGCACCCGCGTGGCGATATGAAAGCGTTAGTCAGCTGATAGGAAGCACACGGAACATCTTCTCTCTTTGCAGTATATGTGAAGAGACATAATCCTAACCTCTCAGGCAAGTATATTGTTATTAGTTCTGTCACTGTGATTCCTAGGTGGTGATTTCTGGGAGGAAATTCAAATGAGAGGGGGCAAAGAGGCTTTCCAAAATAAGATTTGCCTAGCAAAGGGGCATGGAAGCTCCCCTCCCCCAAGACTCCTTGAACCACTTTCTAACATAGCATCAGCTAGACAAAGTTTTCAGTCGCCAAAACCAAGGCACAATTTCTCATCTTCCAAAACTACCCCAAAAGCTGGCGTTATCAAGCTGGTTCTGTGGGAGAGCAAAGTATCTTTTAGGGGAAAAATGGTAAATTTAGTCAAGCCAATGACCAATTCTGACATCATACCAATCAATAAGGAAAACCAAACACTAGTTTGACTGGAGTTAGTGTTTTTGGGAAATTTAAATTGAATTCGGTCAGATCTGCTTGTGTGCAGAGAATGCCAACAAACAGCTACCTACAGAACCAGGGGCGCTTTGGATGCCTGCAATGTTGGATTACACTTTGAGAACTATCAAATACCAGGTAGAGGAGACCATATCCAGAGCTGGACGGGATAGAAGAACATGCTTAACCTAACCAAATTACTTTAAAAAGCGGGTTCTTGGTCAACTGGAAGCCTGTCAAATTAGCATATTCTGGGACCTCGATATTACATAATAGGAAAATCATACCTAAAATTTCAAGAACTTTCAAAAACTCACAAGCCCAGTCACAAAAACCCTGTGACACTGAGTCTGAAGGGGAAACTTGTTTCCTGTTCTTCAAAACAACGCCAGACATGTTTCTATTTTTCAGCAGGAATCTGCTTTCTAGGGTTGGAAAATTACGTTTAAAGGATTTTCCCGAGAAGGCCAAGTCTCTTAACCTCTTCATTCTTTTTCGAGAAGGTGTAGTGTGACTACAGCAGAGAGCAAGCACCCTTTGCAGCTCTCCCAAGCCGGGCATTCTGGAGACCATAGAATGCCGGTGGGTTTGGGGAAACACAGACATCCATATGCCCTCAGCACGAGACACAAAGTCGTCAAGAGAAGGAGAGATTCTAAATAACTGTAAGCAGAAGATGGACATTAAATCTTGTGGGCAGTTAGAGGTCTTTTCTGGAATGTGAGTATGTATGTTCTTGTAGGGAAAGCATGTGTTTTCAAGGTGAACAATCCTTGTATAGGAAAATGGCCTTGCACTATTAGGAAAACGTGTTTGAAGTAGTCTGGCTACTAGCAAAGAAGGATCTGGACTAATTTAACCTCACGTCTTGGCCCCATTCCTCTGGCAACCAACAGCATGCACAGCAGACACCCCGTGACCACAGAGCACAATAAAGCCAACCAGCTGTTCGTGAGGAGTGGAGGCCTTCAATCCAGGACCTGGTCTCATAGGCTACGCAAGGGTCTTCCTTATCATGAAGCCTAAAGTAGGGCATTTTGCTCTGATCCCCTCAAGCTGGGTTAGGTCTCTTTTAATTTGGGTTTAGTCCCATTAAATTAAGCGAGAAGGCAAGACATGCTGTTTTTTCTTGCTCTCACGTAGGACTGTGTGCAAGGTTACGCGTGAGCACACTTTTTGAGACTTCTACGAGGGGTAACTGCATTTTAGTCTCTTTTGAGGCTCTAAATTTATGGAGATTTCAGTAAGAGTTCATATGCTTGACAGAGTAGGAAAGGAGTCCCCCAGACTCTCTGATGACTTGGCAACTCTCCTCACTAACTGCCTATTAACTTTCAAAGCAACCGTAAGGGCTGAATGATTTGGGGTAGGTTTACCCTGGGGACTTGATCTGATGAACATAATGAGGGGGGCGGTCAGAGTGCATTCAGAAAAATCAGAATCTGAAGACTGAAATTCCAGGCTGGATATTCTTTAGTGCAATACATCACGCACCGCCAGCATTTTACTTTCCCCCACACTGTAAACTGAAATCTCAGTTACAAGCAGTATCGAAGACATAATTCTTGCTGAAAACTGAAAATGAAGACTTGGGAGTCCTGAGAAACCTTCCCATACATTTAGCAAATAGAAAGCCAACTACCCCTTCACAAGAAGGTCAGAAATGCAGCACCAGCTGAAATTCACACTCTTGGGCCAAATCAGGGAATCAAGAGATGTACATCAAATTAATAATTTCCAGGACCTTCCCCAGCTTAGATAATAAAATGAAGGGTTTGGTTCTACCCTCTGCTGTGCAGTGGCATTAACACCCGTGCCTGGGGAATAGGGATTTGGTGGGAGCCGATGCAGGCCAGTGATGCTGTGTCTCTCAAACCAGTGGAGCAATGAAATGAGACAGCTTTGTCCCTGGGCATAAAACTGCTGGTGCCAACATCAAATGTTTGATTAAACTGGCCTGGGTATGTCGAAGGTGAAATCCGTGCTCCATTTGCAAACCCGAGTCTAGTCTATCAAATGCAGGCTCACAGGGGTTTTCTTCCCCCTGACTGCAAAGGCAAACCTCAAAAGCCATGACTCAGTAAAAGTCCTCAGCACGTGTCTGCACTTTCCTTGTGCACAGGTACTTACTGTCACTCAACAGTGGGTTTAAGTCCTTTTTGCACAAGTGGGTTTTCAGATCAGGAAAGCAGCAGCTACTGTAAGTTATTTACATCTGTGAACATCAGGCTCCTGTTTGAACAGATAAGTCTTTATTCCCCTGTACGCTTACATAATAAATTGTTTACAGACTTTTTTTTTTAATACAATACTGGCATAGCAATGTTTAAATTTCATATTTTTACTGTATAAGGTAGCTTCGCGTACCTGTTTGCTTTGTCTTCTTGGGGAGGACATGATAAAGACCTGTGGTAAATATACATCCATGTGACAAGGGGCTGTGCAATAGGGTGGAGTAGAATACTCACAGGAAAAAGAGTGAAGTCAGGACACTACATCAGAGTGGGAACCAAGAAAGTGTCTTCCGTTCAAGCAACCACCACCATTTGGTAGCTTTGCATAAGTTAGCATTACCCAAAGAACCTCCCTCCTCCACTTTAGTGAACGGAAGGAAACCCAGGATAAACAAAGGAGTATCTTGTTACAGATTATTTGAAACGGAGGCCATCTGGGATTCATTTTGACTCAAGAAACCCAAGTACATCCAACTTCAGGAACATGACTAGTGTGGAAAATGAAAAGACTAACTTTGTGTTGGTAAAATTATAGTCTCTAGAGAGGAATAAAAGATAGCTTTGTATTATCTGGAGTGTTTCCGTAAAGATTTCATTTTAAATATCCCTCTGATAGTTTCTCTGTTCTGCCCGGCAGCCTCTAATTTGCTTAATTTTGTACTTTGGGCAATCCTGTCATTTTTGTCCCTAAACTCTAAGTTAGTGGCTACATGGTCCTGGTAATGTTACAGCCAGAGAAAGTTAAAGACTCCTGGAAATTTAGACAAACATCATCATGGGAGACTTTACTTTGGCCCAAGGTATCTACAGTGTGCATTTCTTCAGCTAAACTCAGATCCCTCCATACTTCTGGGCTGAGGTCAACCCCAAAGGTCTTCTCCTTCCTCTAAAATTGCTGAAGGCGGACTGTTCCTGACCTGGGGAAAACTGTGTTAGTTCGAATCAAAATGATCAATTACCTGCCAGGAGAGCAGGGGAAAAAAGTATTATAAACAAAACGAAAATTTCATCTTGAGAAAAACAGGTTCTTCTTGAGTTTGTTCCCCTATAATTATTAGCAATCCAAGTTCTATAATTCTAATTGAAGAAGAGCCAAGTCCAATATCAAATGACACCGGACACAGCGACAACTTCTTTCAGAGATTATTTTAAAATCCACATCTTTCCATTTTCTAAACTACCAAAGACAGGTGAAATTATGGAAGTTCCCTTATTCAGAATAAAGGAAATTAACACTGATTGTTGTCACTTTCCATTATAAGGTCCTCTCTGGGAATTTTCTGTGGATTATTCCTTTTACTGTCTTTAATAGTAACCATGCTTCATGGCGGGGAGTGGGGGTGATTTCCCTTTTTGGAAACAGCGAAATGGGATTCAGAACCAGGAGTCATGGGAAAAGATCAAGAAAGAGAACATACTTCCAGGTACTGAAAGCAATGCTAATTAGATAATAATTCAACGGATCTTCTTACACCTTATTACTGTCCTTGATGGTATTTCTTTTTTTTTTTTTTTCAGATTTTATTTATTTATTTGAGAGAGAGAGAATGAGAGAGAGCACATGAGAGGGGGGAGGGTCAGAGGGAGAAGCAGACTCCCTGCCGAGCAGGGAGCCCGATGCGGGACTCGATCCCAGGACTCCAGGATCATGACCTGAGCCGAAGGCAGTCGCTTAACCGACTGAGCCACCCAGGTGCCCCTCCTTGATGGTATTTCTAAGGAGGGGGGTAGTTTCATAATTAACCTAAGTGAAGGCAGCATTACTAGAGTTAAGTATTAGCTCCCCAAGTAAAACCAGATGCCTTTGAAGGGAACAACACTCAGTGAGTGGCCAAAATTCTGGTATGTCTGCTGAAGAACTCATTAATTATGATCGTAGTTAGAAGTGTCCATTTAAACCTTATCTCCTCTGAGGCCTATGTTTTTAAAAATACTGGGACTTAAATTTGGTGATCTAGTCATTTGAATGCTGTAAGGGAAAAAAAAAATTGTGATGTGTTCTGGTATAGTTACTACTCTTGCACAGTTGGACTAAAGCAAATCAGAAACATATGCTTATAGTATCTGCCCATTTTTAAGTGCCAGATCACAGATTATATATTTTAAAAGAATTGAAGTCTTCTGATACTGTTTTGTTAGAATAGGTAGGGCCATTTAAAAAAGAAAAAAATGGTATCTAGATATTTGAAAGAAAAATCTATGTCCCAAACTGTCCAATAATGTAAGCTTCTATTCAGATAACCAAGGAAGAGCCACCCAAGTTAGTAAAGGCCCATTATAATTCTCTAAAATGTAAATACTGCTCCAGTAACAGAAGATAGCTGAAGAACATCAGGATTACACAGATCCTTCATAATCCTTCCAAAGCATAATAATATGTACGTAGAACTCTAGAATTCCATAAGCTTAAAGACCATCCAGTCCAAACTCATCATTGTATACATAAGGAACAACCGCTCTCAGAAGTGAAGTGCCTGCTGATGGCTACTTGGCCGGTGACTGGCAAAGTTCAGGGAGAGACCCCAGGTGGCCTGTCCTGCCCAGGCCTCTTCTCCCATGGCCCGGCCTCAGACCCCACCCCTGTGAGAGAAAGTGGATGGACTAGAGACTGGTCTCTCTGATCCCGCTTGTGGCTCAGTCTTGAGTTTCCTATGTCTACCAATTATCAGACACTGTAGTGTGTCTAGTGTCATATCAAATCAACCCTTTAAGCTCAGGGATGAAGCTATAAACTAAAGGAGGTCCCATTTACCGAGTCACTCACATGGATTCCCTAACTTAACAGAAACAGAGTTCTCCCCTTTGAGGTCCTATTCCTAAAGAATAAACCCAAGATGATTTCATGTCATTATCTCTCTCAGACTTCCTCCATCCAATCTCTGGCTTCTAGTCTGTTCATTTTCATTAACAGTTCCCATTAAGCTTTGTTGAGCCAGATGACTAGAGAATATATCTCAATGTGATTATGGGTAATACATGAAAGGAACAATTTAGAGATACCGAATTTCTAAACTGTACTCTTCACTTTTTTAATTATATTGAGAAACTAGATGTTTCGTTATATTTCTAACATGCATATGTATGAAAAAAAACCAAATTGGAAAACATAGGCATAAAACATTGTTCTTATTTAAAAATAAACATTTCCTTCATTAGTTTATACATTCTTTCTATGTCCAGGAAAAAGAATACAGTTTTGATCTTCAGTAATATTCCTGTCCATAAAGGGGCAAACCGAGTCCCATTTTCACTGCTATCCAATCATGGAGAGCTCTTCAAGGACACCTTTTTTTATCTTCAGCAGGAAGGTTGTGCCTCCCTCAATCTTGGAAATGATCCATTATCCTAATAGAGGGCTTTACTTAGCTCAGCTAGTTTCAGCTGCCACAGGAAGTATTTAAAGTCAGAAGGAAGACTGAAAGATTCAGACTTTTCCTTCGCTGCCTTTCAAAGGCTGCTCTCACATTTCTGGGGTCAAAGCTTGACCTCCAAAGTGCAGTGTTTTGCAGGCTGTTGTTGCTGCTCAACTTTCTTTTTTTTTCCCCTTAAAGTGCAAACGTGAGGAAGAAGAAACAAAAGTACTAGACAGAGAAACAAGCAAATGAGCTCGGAATTTTATTTGTACAAATCTGATCAACTAAGAGTTTCCCCTTCTGATCATGGAAAATGGCACTCAAGGAAGAGAACCACAATGGGTTTCTCTGTGCCCACCGCTTTTCAAAAGAGCAATTTTATAAAATTGCTTTCTATGTAAGGGAAAAAAAATACACTTCAATGAGTAAGGACATATACAGAGGGTGACCATGAGGCATGTTGTCATGTCAGTGCAGGGTCCTTTATTTATTTTATGAACAATATTCTAAGGTTAGTGAGGAACTACACTTTGTTTTGTTTTTTTAATCTAGGAAGCCAAGGAAAACCAACTGAGCATATTTCATTGGCTGCATCCTTCGATTCAAACATCATAGAGAAAGAAAGGTAAGTAGCCAGAATCAAATTGTGCCTAGCTTGTCAGCACACTTATTTCTGATTATCTGAAAATAAACAACATGCTTATTCTACAAAGACAGAGGACCTGCTGAAAGCGTATAGCAACACACAAGTCTACTCAAAATGATTCCATATGTTACACTGTAGGATTGCTGTGTAGTTAATACAAGGGAAAGAGATCAAAACCCTGTACAGACACCTGATATCAGACTTGAAACATCAAGTGGAAACAGAACTATTCAGCGTCTTCATTTATACACAATTTACAATATTTGATTCAAAATAAAAATCACAAGAAAAATACATCTGTTTCTGCTACAATTCCTTCCCCTCCCCCATCCACCCCCCAGTGAAAAGTCTTCTAATAAAAGGTATCATATTACCACCATTGTCTTGTTTTGGTCTAATTCTGAGATCCCGGCTCGGGACAGTTAACACGAAAAGGAATGGCAATACTTGGGTTTTATATAATGTACACATTTTATCCAAGGATCTCAAGTACTTGCAGTCACGTCTCCAGATCTGAGAAATCACAGTTCAATGGGAGCCAGAATGCTGGATGAATGCTGGGCAGGTTGCATGGGGTGTAAAATCCCTTGGCTAAATCTATGAATCAAACAAGGTCAAAGCTGGTTGGCTAGAGCTGGGCTCAATTTCTCTTTTCAAACATATCCCATCCGTCAGTCAGTTTTACCCTCTCTTAAGTCACACACCCATCTCTAGGCTACAGCCTAGAGTTAAAACCAACTGAAGAAGCCATGTCCTCATGGTAATGCAGCAGCATAAAAAGCAAAAACAGAGAAACACATTCATCAGCATCTGGCCAAAGGAGACAGGGGCTGGGAGGATTGGTTTGGGAGGCCATTCCTAGCAAGAATGAGACAAAGGTGTCAATTCACTAGTTTCAGTTACAGTTAAGCTTTGGGTGGAGTTGATTCCAGCAGAGGTGAAGCTCATGGCATCTAGCGCTTGATTTAAGATAATGCTATTGAAGAAGGGTAATGAGAAAACACAGCAAACTAACAGGGAGGAACTGGCCAAGGAATATCTGGAGGGCCAAAGTGATTTTCTTTCCTTATCATTTTCTACAGGAGAAGGCAAGGGATAGGAGATAAGGGCTAGAGGGCCCCTTATTAGCAGATTTTTAAAAAAATCATTTCTCTTATAACTCCGTAATGAAAATGTATATTACGGTGTGAAGGTTACAGAACTGCATCTGCTACTGGGTCACGGCTACAGGTCTATGAGCTGATCCACCAGCAGTAAAGACCTGGCTAGGTTGGGAAGACTGGACTCAGAGCTCCCACTGCTGTTTCTAGAGTGCCCACCTGGAAGTGGAGAGATAGGAATTCAGTACAAAACACAGAGGGTTAAGGTTTAGATGTGCAGAGCAAGCAAAGGAGAAAAAAACAAAAACCAAACCAAACCCTAGAGAAGCAACAATTTACATTTGCAAACTCTTACATGTTGATTTTTAAACATACAAGTTAGGTATCCACCACCTCCCACCAAAACTTCAGGCACACCATACTAGAGGCAGAACACCTTGCAAAGAGGATGCTATTTTCAAATGAATATATATTTTGCCTGGGAACCGCTGGCTGGACCCTAACTTCCTGATCACATCAAATCATCTCCCTGACAAAGTAAAAACCAATAGTTTTTGCTTTGGAAAGAAATTAGTTTCTAAGACCACTGCAATAGAAACATGCTTTAAGAAGTATATAGACGGTCCCATGGCAATTCGGTGTCTCATGGCACATTGAAATGATTTTAACCCATCAAAGAGGAAAAAGGATGCTTCACAAATGTCCAAAAGATGCAAATGGTATCAAAGCACCATACTTAATCTCTTGGGGAAGAATATTTATTACAGATGATTCTGATCATGCTAAAAATGTTCAGAGCTTTTTAAAAAATATATGCCTTCCGGTTTCCACTAAGTTTCCACTTTATTTTTGGCTTGATACTTTGTAAAAATCAGGTTTTAGTCAAAGTATTAAATACTTTTCCTCCCTCTAAATAAACATCACAGTCAAGCTTTAAGATAACTGTATCTCCATCTGTACCTGTATCTCTATCTTATCCTGGTTCAGCCCCAAGGCCTGTCATTATCCCCAGTTTCCTTCATTAAGTGTGGATGCTTTATCCCCTCTTGGAGATTAGGTACACTACTACTTTGTAGTGAGCTGTGATGTCAAGCTCTCCTCTTTTCCCCATCCTCTCTTTCTTACCTTGTGGGTTTTTGGTTATCAATACAGGAATAGGGTCAAATTCATCTTCTGCCACCTTGTCCGAGCCCTCAGGGACATCAAAACCTGAGATGAGATTACTATCTTCTGCAGCTTAATACATAATGCAAGTACACAAGCAGAAACAACAGAGGTAGAGATTAGCAAATGAGAGAACATGTAAGAGGCACAAAGTTCCCAACTATACAATCACTTTTGTTTTTGAAGGTGGAAAATGCTTATTTTCATGACTTGAAATAAAAGTAGCAAAACTGGAAAATAGGGAGACAGGAAAAAAAAAAAAACAACGGTTTCGAGCTGGCCATGTTAAGAGTTTCAGAAATGATTAGGGAGAAGGGTTAGAGGATGAATTCTCTCTGCCATTTTAAGACCATTAATTGTAGTTATTGTGAGGTATCTCTTCAGCATCAGTAATTCACAAAGGCACAGGAATTAGTCATTTATCTTCCTTATTGAACAAACAGAGGCCTAACAAACAATACTCAAGAAACTCAAAGCCAGGGGCAGGGCGGAGGTAATTAGAAACTCTTTAAGAAGCAACTGCTATATACACTATATGTTAATTAATTGAATTTAAATTAAAAAAAAAAAGCAGCTGCTGCTTTTGTGTACGAGGCAAACAAAATACTTCTGAAAGGACCTGCTGTCCTGTGATTGGGAAAAAAGACTTTCCATCAACTCTGATACCTCAGGCAATGTTGGGGCCCGAGATCACATGCCCTGAGATTTCAAGCAGAAGTTTGTTAGAATAGTCCCCTCCATTCTGATTAAGATTACCCTACGAGCGAGTGCTAGCTGAGCACCTATTTTGCAAGTGATGCTTCTCTGTAATTACATATTGTTGCTGACACACTCCTGCCAGACGTAATTGGTTAAACACACACTCTATAAAAACATAATCATTTTAATGCCATCAAGGGTAAAAACAAAACTCAGCTATTACCACCGCAAACCATAAACTAATTATTTTTAGACATCTTGGAGAGGCTTGCTTCTTGAATTTCTTTCAGAATAAACTTACACTGTTCGTTTTCTATATATTTGCTCCTTCCAGGAAACCAATGTTACCACCCCAGTACAGAGAGAAGTTTAGTGAATGCCTGCATCCAGGAAGCCAGGCACTGTACCGGTCACTTTCACAAACAGCTCACTGAAGAGAACTCAATTAATTCAAGCTACTTCTGTCCAGCAGCATTTCAAACAGGTATTAACCCAGGACTAAGAAATGAAAGTGGTAGATGAGAAAGAGAAATCCACTAATCAATCATGACTCAAAACTCAAAACTTAGAATTCTAAGTTCAATCTTTGAAGACTGACTTTTGAGGACTTATGCCTCCTTTTTTATTGTAGCAATCACTACCCAAAAACTTTAAGTCAGATTTGATGCAACAATTTTAAGGTCTAAGGCCAACAGTATCATATTAATAACAGTCAGTCAGTGGATAGTCAACTCAACCATCTACTTGCGGGGACTGCAAAGGTATAGAGCTCCGCCTTGAATGGAGAACACGGAACACCTGCAGTCCTCGTGACTGCTGGGAAGCAGTGGTTCCACCAATCTGTTGTCTAAGCCTCATCAGGCACTTTTCCCGAGAGGGATTAGAACACAGAGGCTTAGAGTACCAACTCGAGTTTTCCATATGAAGGAGGGGGCACAAACACTTCACTGGCAAAGACTTTCCATAAGGAAAATTCTCAGGGGTCATTCAGTTCTCCTTGAAGGACATGGGAGCCCGAGGACAGGAAAGCATTTACCTTTATGGGCTGGAGCAGAGATCGCTATGGGGGCAAACTCTTCCAGAAGGTCAGTAGTAGGGTTAGAAAGCAGGGAGCAATCAATCAGGGAATCTTCCCCGGTGAGAGAATCTGAGTCCAGATTGACAGCATCCCAAGTCGGTGATGGCATAAAATGGCACACACAATATCATGAGATTAGAGCTTAGCCTTGAAGTTACTGCATTTACATGTCATATGTATAAGCCAAGGCGGGAGAAAGAAAACCACAAGTAATATCTTAAGCCCCCCAGCATTTTCATCAATAGAAACATGTATTTCTAGATTCCTCTTAACATGAACATATAAATATGGAATAATTCTTTGCTCAGAGGGTGCTGGGTCAGCAAATCTGTGATCTGGATGCCAATAAAACTTTAGGAACTCAGTTCTCAGCAAATGCCACTTGGGAAAAAGGACTTTGCCACTAAAGAGTTTCATTTAAACTTTCCCTAAACATTTTGGGGGAAAGGTACAATAGGATGAGGTATCTAAGTTGACTAGGAAGGGGTTGTCCCTGGCTTATTAGCAGACTATGACACGATAAACAGCATTTTCTAGAACTCAACCAGATCCCCATTCAAAATAAAATGATCTTGCTTCTTACTAGTCTTCTTTAAATTTGAATTGCTCCTCTGAATATATGATTTTACTTTTAGGTAAGGAACAGAAGGAAGACAAAATGCAGAGTTCAAGCATTTTAACATACAAATTGTTCTCTGGGCAAGTTTTAGAAAAGTCAAGTAAGCACAAGGGAAAGGAACCATTTAGCCTTCTATGTTCATTTTTTCCCCCACCTCCTTGAGTTCATTTTCGTAGTTCCCAGACTTCTAATTGTTTTCTGTTCCAAGGTAGGAAATCAGACACTTTTACCAAGGCAACTATGGACTCAATAAAAATGCAGGTTATCAGCTCTGGATTTATGGACAGTTAAGGAATTCTATTAAGAGTGAAGTTTGAAATTAGGGTAAAAACAATGCGGGACCAGGGCAGATTTCAACTCTGCTTACAATTTAACAGCAAACCACCTACATAGGCTAAAAGCACTGTGCTGGGAATAGAATGTCAACATCCAGAGCGTGAGCTCCATGAAGTTACTGACACCACTGGGTGGAAAGACAGCTCGGAAACCTTGGAGGAGTTAAGGTCATCCTTGCAGCTCAGCAGAGTTCTTTAGGGAAGGAGGTGGAGGGAACCTGCCACCAGTGAAAGGAATCTTGAATAACGAGACACCATAACCAGAGAAATCCCAAGTACCACTCTACAAAGAACATGGCCCCAAAAAGTACTCGGCTCTTCAGCAGGGAATGGTATCACTAAACATCTAGAAGCTGGGGCTGTACCCCTATGAAGTATCCATTCTAGGGGCCATTGACCAGGCTGCAAAGGAAGCCCAGGGTCACCTGCTGCAGGTGGAAGGGCTGACTGTGAGGTCCACCACAATGAATGGTCCCCGCAGCTACAGAGAGACCTGACTGACCTGTGCGGTTTGAGGTCACAGATTCCGTCTGAGATGGAAGGCGCTGGGGCACTGGGGGCTCCAGTCCTGGTATGAGACTCTCAACGGCAACATCGGCTTTTTCTTTTGTAACACAGCATTAAGAAAGGAGAACAAAGGGTAAGGGAAAAGGAGTCAAAAGGTTCTTTAGACAATTCTGTGAAGGCTTTCTTCTACAGGGCTCTAAAATGCTAGTCTAGGGCAAGACGGGCAGCACAAGAAGTTACTTTATTTCTGCTGCTTTGAGTGCCTGGGCTTCACTGATTGAGCATGCATTTGCAAGGTTAACTGCTATGACGTGTCTTGGTGAGTCTCAGTTTTTACAGATAAATGTAGAACACGAGCCACCCAGCAGATTTCTTCCACGTCAGAAGACATAGGCTGAAAGGCACTGTAATATCTTACAGTAATTTCGCTTTTCTTAAGGGATAAACCTGGGGGCAGACATCCTCTGTGCCTCGCAAAGGCCACTAGTCCATTTCAAATCCCACCCCCGACGTAGCTAGGAGGTCTTCTGCACTGTCTCACATCCTGCAGCTGAAGGCCCATCTCTCTCTAGGCTCATGGCCTTGCTGAATTCGTGGACTATGTGCCCTGGAGTACAGAGGCCCTGGACATCTTGTACGTCTTGCCTGCCTTGCTGTAGGAGCACAGGGCAGTATCAGACTGAGCAGACCAAGCCCCTGCCTGGATTCTACTCATGGGGCTTCACCACTGGGCAAGTGTTTCCTGTTATGGATACCCGGCACATACAGGGGCCTTCTAAAGAAGAATCTGCTAAAGGTAAGGTCCCAGCTTGAAACCAACTTCCTTCATGAAGATTTTGTAACGAACAGTGAATTTTTCCATTCCTCCTCATTCATAAAAAGTCCCTCCAGAAATCTCAGGCTATCAAGCAAAGCAAAAATAACAGTGTGGTGCCCCTGGAAGGCAGAGAAAACACTTCCTTTGGGGTAATAATAAATATGATTAAAGGAGGCTTTGTGGCATTTTCCACTCCTCAGCAGGGCTATTCACTAGGGATCTGTTAACCAGTTAGTTTTCATTCTTGAAACAGACACATATATCATGCAGGACTGAAGAAACAGATGACGACTTTACCAATTATAGCATCGGACGTGCTACCAAAAGGGTCTGTCATAGGCAAGAGGTCAGGGAGCAGGAGAGAAGTGTCAGGAGATTTGAGTCCCTCAATTAGTTTTTCTAGGTTGGGCAGAGAGGTAAAGAGAAAGCAAAAATGCAGTGAGATATTAAAACAAGTTGATCATTTACCGTTTTCTATGCAAACACATTTTGGGGTCAAACTTTTGTATCGATTCATCATAAAAACAAATACTATTTGTATCTTTTACCGTTAATTAAAAATAAGCTTTCAAAGTTCAAAATTTAAAAGTGGTTATTTCTCTGGTTGAAGTAGTCACTTTGTAAGTCATTCAAGATACTGCCTTGTTTGTTTTAAAATTTGAGGTATAAATATTTAACCAAAAAAAAAAAAAAATACTGATTTGAAGGGATACATGCACCCTGATGTTTACAGCAGCATTATCAACAGCCAAATTATGGAAAGAGCCCAAATGACCACCAACTGATGAATGGATAAAGATGTGGTCTATACATATGTACACAGTGGAATATTACTCAGCCATCAAAAAGAATGAAATGTTACTATTTGCAACAACATGGATGGGTGTAGAGGGTATTAGGCTAAGTGAAATAAATCAGTCAGAGAAAGGCAAACACCCTATGATTTCACTCACGTGGAATTTAAGAAACAAAACAGATGAACATGGGGGGAAAAAAGAGAGAGGCAAACCATAAAACAGACTCTTAACTATAGAGAACTGAGGGTTGCTGGAGGGGAAGAGGAGGGTAGAGGGATGGGCTAAATGGGTGCTGGGCATTACGGAGGACGCCTGTCATGAGGAGCACTAGGTGTTGTATGTAAGTGATGAATCCCTAAATTCTACACCTGAAACTAATATTAGACTGTCTGTTAACTAACTGGAATTTAAATAAAAACCTGAAAAAAAATTTGAAGTACAATGTACACTGAATAAAAGTCACCAATTTCAAGTGTACACATTGCTGAGTTTTGACAAATGTGCACAGTCATGTAAGCACCACTGAAATGATGTAGAATGTTTCCATTACCACCAAAATTACCCTTGTGCCTTATTCTAGTCGGTGCCTTCCTGTTACCCCCAGACCCAGGCAACAACTGATCTGCTTTCTGTCCCTACAGCTTTGCCTTTTCTAGAATTTCCTATAAATGGAACCATACAGTATGTAGTCTGTTCTGTCTGATGTCTTTCATTGAGCATAATGAGACCCCTCCCTGTCGTGGCATGTTATCAGGAGTTTGTTCTGTTTTATTGCAATGTGGTGTTCCACGGTATGAATGTACCACATTTTGTTGAATCATTCACCAGTTGATAGACATTCGGTTGTTTCTAGTTTTTAGCTATTAAAATAAAGCTGCCATAAACATATGCATGTAAGTCTTTATGCATTCATATCCCTTCCTGGGCTTAGTTTTGAAAAAAAATTTTGGACTCGCATTTAGAAATGCTGTGTAACTCAGCAAGTGAATCAAAATATGCCTACATTAACTTCAACCATCACGTATTGTCTGCCAACTGAGAGCCTGTGACAAGCTGGTACTCTTTATCATTCTATGGTCAAATCTCATGAAATGCACTTACATCTGAAGATGGATTACTTTTGATGCCTTTTGGCCAGGAAACAAAAGGATATAAGAAGCCACCAGATCTGTCACACCTGATAACTTAATGTGTGGTAAGTGCACACGTTAAGATTTCTTCATGACTTTTTCAGCCTTGATCCATCAACAACTCTCTATCTTCAACTTATGAAAGGTAGAGAGCATTACTTGAAACAAAATCCTGAATCATAGAATCTTACAGAAAAAGGGAATTAAGAGCTCAACCTCCTTTTACTTACAAGGAGGCTGAAGCCACATAAATTCTATAATTTGCCCAGTTTAAGCCTGTTGACATTTTTTTTTCTGTCACAGAAATACATGCCATTAGGATAAAACTGAAATGAAAATGTTTGAGGAAAAGAAGTAACTTAAAGTTCAAGTCTGTGTATAGAACATTTTAATGAATCTGCATTCTTCTAGGCCATCAGGAATCAAGATAAGATGAAATTGGTATTTGTTGAGGGACTGAAACCAAATTTTAGGTGATGTGTAATTTAAGGTGATCTATAACAACACAGATGAAACAAAACAATGGATTTTAGTGTCTTGGCAAGATAATTTGCTTTGGTACAAGTAATACACTGCAGAAGAAGATTTTTACACGTGAAATCAATTTACCGTCTTTGCAGTATACGGCATGTAGATATCTTGGAGTTAAATGACAATCTGCTAACTTTTTCTCATTTACACCTGATACTTACATTGAAGAAAGGCAGAAAGAAGAAAAGAAGCTTTTCAAAAGCAGGGGGAAAAAAGCCCAGAGTACTAACCAAATACACAAGTGTAAATGTGAATTTACACTTGTATATTAGCACATCAGAATTAATCTTGCATCGTGCATAAAATTTTATTAGCAGAAAAGATGTTAAAAATATGTGACAATTTTTAGCATACCGGCAAAAATAAGATGGCCTTCTCGAAAAGTCTAATTTTTCATTATGCTGAACGCTAGCTTTTGTTTTATTCCCAAAAAGAGCTTCTTTCACGTACAGGAAAGTAATTATTTGCTTCTTCCACTTTTAGCACTCATACATTTGCAATCTTACGAAGCAATGGATAAATAGTAATGACCCCAAATTACCTGCTTATCTTTCATACGGTAGTTTATCTTGGTGCAAAACCTTAAGCTAGCCAAATGCAGAGTCCGAATTCTAGCCTCTCCAGTGACCGGTTGCGACCATGGGGTCAGTCCTTAAACTTCTGCCTTCACCTCCTCAACTGTACAGCGGAGATACCTCCCACCACCTTTTTGTATAGCTCACTCAAGTATCATCTCCTCTACTCCTTTCCCCATCCTCCCTGCCACATCGGGAGCCTCCCAGAGCACTCTGCACTCGCTTCTCTTGCAGCCTTTACAACAGGACAAGGTATCTTCTTAATCTCGGTATCCCCAGTTCTCGGTTTCCTCTCATACCCTATGTCACATCTCTGCTTCATTGGGGAGGTGGGGAGGAAGAGGAGATCAACTGGGAAGTCAGGTAACTTTAGCAAGAATCTAATATTTTTATTAGCCATTAGCAAAAAAGATAATGTGAGGGGTAAAAAAAAGGACGTGTGTGCATGCGAGTGCTGTGTGGTGAGACAGAACAGGGTGGGGATGGGGTAAGTCGCCAAAGTTAGGGGGCTTATCTTCTGACCGAACCTCAAGTAACAGGCTCTTCACACAGATAATCTGTGTGGTCACTGCTGCTTGAGAATCCTCGACTACTGAAATGTGGGAGGGAGGAGCAGGGATAGGGCAGGAGCAGACAGAGAACTAGAGTGAGAGCACAGAGCCACGGCATAAGGAGGGCGGACGGCATGTGCAACACCATCTGCCACTCCCAGCGTTCTCAAGATGACAGAAACTCTCAGCGACCCAGTGTGGGTGCCCAGGTTCCACTGTAACTACAGTCAGCACTGCCATTTGCAGAGTTTAATGCCAAACACTTTCCTTCATTATTCACAAAAAGACGTGGGTTTGGGAATACTGAGAAGAGTTGAGAAGAATGGAGACAGAGACTGGGACTTGCCCAAAGTCACAGAGGGGACATGGTAGAGCATGGACTTGACTTCACAGTTTCCCCCACATGCTGCCTATAGGGTCTGCCTATGTCCCTCAACATAGGAGAATAGGTTTTCACACAGACATGGCCCCAGGCACAACGGCCAAATTAGCGAAGACATTTGGAATTCACAGACCTCAGGCCTCACATGCGCCTCAAGGGCTGCCCTTGATATCGCTCATGTTAGGGATTCTATCTGCCCTCTTATAGTTATATAAAGACACTCTGAGACCATGTGTCATGAAGAGGGTGGGCGGCGAACAGCAGTGCAGAGAAGAGGATGGTGAATTTAGGAACACGTGCAGAAAGTGTTCTTTAAGATCCCAAACCTCAACCAAGTTCTCCCTGGGCATTTCGCGATTTGTTGATATCTAGTGAAGCCACAGACGCCTGAGATTACGGTAGCGAGAATGCACGGAGTTCCAGGTTTTACCCACATGCCTTGGTATGAGATCAGAAAAAGCAGAATTCCTTGAATAAAGTGAAATGTGAGAGGAGGCAGCGTGGTCTAACAGAAAGAAATCACCAGTCGGACGCCCAACTGACTGAGCCACCCTGGCGCCTCTTCAAATAATTTTTTAGAAAAGGAAAGAGAACGTAAACTAACAGGATCTGAGTGTGTCCGCTTCCTTAGATGTTCGTCAAGCATGAGGTGGTGGGGTTTTCCCTCTTTCCAAGCTGATGGCAGAGGTTGCAGCCGCTCATTGTTTGATAAAGGGCTCTTCTTGAATTCATCATCACGATGGACTTTTACAAAATATATATTTAATGGTAATTTATATCTCTTCTTTTAGAATTGTCTGCTCCTATTTTCCTCTTGGTGGTATTTTCTTAGCATATCCCCGTTACCATACTCAGTTCTTTCTCAAGTCTCTAGGGTTCCCAAATAAAAATGAGTCTGGTTAAGAGCATGGAAAAGTGCTGAAATCACGGTGAGAGGACTGAGAAGGTGGGCCTCCGGAGCAAAGTGGATGCAGAAGGAGTTAGCCTGGGCACTGGAGACAGAGTGCCTTTAAAAGAGAGGACTGGGGTGCCTGAGTGGCTCAGTCTGTTATGTGTCTGCCTTCGGCTCAGGTCATGATCCCGGAGTCCTGGGATTGAGTGCCTCATCGGGCTTCCTGCTCAGCGGGGAGTCTGCTTCTCCTCAGCCCCTCACCCGACTCTCGTGCTCTCTCTCTCACTCTCTCAAATAAATAAAATATTTTTAAAGATTAAAAAATTAAAATTAGAAAAAATAAAGGAGAAGATTGTTAGTACTTTGAAAAATTAAAAGAGGACTTGGAAAAAGGATCTTTTGAGCACCCCTCTCTCTCCTCTCAAGGGTAAGTCAAGTGGCATTGGGGACTAGGGGAAGAGAGGAAGAGGTAGGAATTAATCCACTCCAGAGTCTTCTCTTACATTTCTCTCAAGCCTTAATTACTGAAAAAACATCAACC